ATGTGTGGTACATAATTTGATTCCAAGACAAGTTAGAATGGGCAAGAACAAAAACTGGCAGTGATATGAAAAATGTCACTGACGGGTAGTGGCTTGACCCAACATGGATATATCACTGCCAGATCGTAGCTTGAGCCGACAACGTTAACTTAGCTATCAACGACGATCTTTGCCATATATACCAGCATTGATATATGACTGCTGGTTGGTGGTTTTATCCAGCAGTGATAGGAGCCATCATTGTCGGATCATTAGTTTCTCGCCAACATTTTGAATGCTGGGCTTACCTACCCAGTAGTGAAGAGTAGTCACTGCCGGCTCCAGCACAACCGACACCGATGCTCCGACAGTGATTGCATGTGCTGGCGTAGTGGGCATATGGCAAGCGAGCAGACGGCCCAGAGCATTCAGACACAAGGAGCGACAACCCTTCGCATGGCACCCGGTGGGCGATGGCCTACATGGGAACAGCAGCATAGCAGGCCCCACAAAGAAAGGTGGCATATGGCAGGCGAGCATCGGTAGCCGGCCTAGAACTGTATGCGGACATGACAAGCGACGGCCTTTCATGCGGCGTATGGCAGGCCAACGATGGAGCTACCCTAGGGGCGTGGTGGGGCGGCCGCCCCACCTACTGGCGGCGGCGTCCCAGATCCCCAGACTCCTCTTCTTCCTTAGGTCCGACTGCCGATTGCCCGAGGTGCCGAGCAGAGGCCGCGACATGGCGATGAACGACGAGCGAGCTGCGAGCGGCGATATCCGATAGAAGAAGATGACCGGTTCCTCTTGTTGGGCACTGGGCTCATTTTGGTCACTTCAGATTAGCCCAGCAAGGGTCCAATTTGGTTCCCCAAATCCCCAATCCCCCAACAGCCATCCGCTACTCCGTCGCCTGTCCGTCATCCACATCTACGTGACGCGTGCCGGCGGCCGCCACTAGCCAGCCGCCGATTGCCTCCTGCTGCTACCCCACTCGCTGGTCGCCGCATCCCCACTCGTCAGCTACCGCTAGGAGCCAGCGCCTGCGGCAAGCCTCCGGCTGGCCGACCCACTGCGGCACTGCCTGTCTGCCGGTCGGCGCCAGGTGCCGCCCACCGCCAGGAGCAGCCCGACGAGGAGCATGAGCTGCCGAGATAGCGATGAAGCGAGGAGGGCGGTGATGAGGTACAAGAACCTGGCGCTAGGGATACAATCACTTTATTGTTATTGGCTAATTGATTTTCATAACATTTACGGGTTCACACCTACTAAGTATTTTGTATTGCAAAATGTATGGGATATCTGGTCAATAACTATTATCAATTTATTCTGCAAATTTGAGGTAACATCTTGTATGGTTCATCCACCTTTCCGTTATAATTTGTGTGATTGTAGCTTTTTCGTCATAATTTGTATGACTGTTTCGTCATAATTTGTATGACTGCAGTATGTTAATTCGGTGCGATTTAGGCCAAAAGTCTTTTTTATTTATTTTCATGTTAAAACTCGTCCAGTTATAATTTTTTTCTGGCTCCGTCATTGTGGCAGGCTATGGCCTACATAGAGATGATGGCACAATAGGCCCCATGAAGAAAAGGGGGGCATATGGCAAACAAGCAGCGATGGCCCAGGTGCTGCATGCGAACATGATGAGCGACGAACTTTCGCACGGCGCACGGCGGGTGATGGCCTACTACACTGGGACCATGACATAGCATGCCGCATGAAGAAACCACGTGACCACGTCTTACCCTAGTGTGCCTTCACCAATTTCTTCAGTCCTCAGTGCACGAGTTGAAATTGTTTCCTCTGCCAAAAATGGCTCCCTTCTCTATCCTCTTAAATCTTCCTGCCAGCTCATCAATTTATTGATGTGGCACCTTTATTAATGGTAAAAAACCACTGCATTGGGACTACCCTAATTAAGCCGATTTAAGGATGAACTAAAAAGATTATTGCTAGACAACCATGAGTACTTACAGTAAACTATATCTTTCATATTTTGATTACATTTAGGCAAGTGATGGTTGGAAAGTGCCCAGATTTTACAAATTCAACAGTGAAGATAATAAAACTCAATGGAGAACATTAGTTTATTTCTTGCACATTTGGATGAAGCTACTACCGTGGAGCATATGAGAATGCACAATTTTTTGTTATGCCTTAATGGTACTGCTATTGTCGTGGTCTTCTTCTTTATAACCTTGCTCTATTGGTTCTTGGGCATAACTAGAGGAAAAGTTTCATGAACACTTTTATAATGGAACCAATGAGACGATATTGTCTAATTTAACATCGCTTAATCAAGGGCATGACGAGTTTGTCCTTGATAATGTCAAAAGGTTTAGAGATATTGTCTAATTTCTGAAAGATCATACTGATTTATCTTTTGTTGGCTTATCCTCTAATACAAAGAAAAGCTTGAGCACTTTGAGGTTCTCATTGTTAATCAATTGTTGCAAAAAGCTTCAACATTCGAAAGCTGAAGTAATTTTGGAGAAGTTCATGAGTCACATCGTCCTAACATGCATGTTGTTGAGTATATTCGGATAGCTCGAAAGATGAAACTAAAGATTGTTTTGCTATTGAATTTGTATGGCCAGCACAAGGAGATTCACGACAAGAAGATATGAAATTTACATTTGATGTCTCAAATGTGGCCAAATTTTTATGAGATGTTGAAAATTGATAATTCAAATTATCTCATCCTTTGCCACCACTCAATGAACTGAAGCTTTGTGCATAATGTTAATGGCATAATTATGCTTCTCATGCTACTAATGACTGCAATGTCTTCCGTCGGCATGTCCAATCAACCATTAATGAATAATGATTGAGTCTATCATGGATGAAAATTGACAAAGTGCCCTTCCCAATCAATACTCTGGAATTGAATAATATGCTATCTTGGTTCGGTCCAATGAGGCCAAATCTATTGCTAGAACACAATGTGATAATTAGTGGTCCTAGGAAGATGGGAAGAATGAGAAGATCTCATGCCACGAAGTCATGCCCTGGAAGTCCGTTGATGGTTGGGAGAGCATCAAAATCACCATCAAATATTCTGGTCTCAGGGGAGGGGGGGGGGGACTCCCATTGGAAAGCAAAAATAAGATGTTATGATAGCAAAAAAATGCAATTTCGATTTCTCAAGTTGGCCTATGTAAGGTAGATCAAAAACCCTTGCACGCCCTCAGGTGAAAGTAATCAGAAGTTGGAAATTGGAAGACAAAATAAAATCAAGATTTCCATCAAAGGTGCAATCGTCACAGTAGACTTTTGACCGACTTCTAAACAAGTACACCAAGCAATGGGCATATACAAGAAGTAGTTCGGTCACTTGTGAAGCAAATTTATGTGTCTAAGAAGGAGGTTTCGTCTGCCTATGAAAGCCATCAAACAAACATTTTTTACAATCAACAACATGGAAGGGCATGTCAATGAAATCGACGAGCTGATTATCATTGAAAATTTAGATCAACTCTCTATGAAGAAAGTGGAGATACAAGGTTCTACAAATGATGATGATGCTGAGAGTATTTCCAACTTTGATGGTGCCCTTTGTGCTTGACAAAAATGAAATGGCACAAGATTCAACACACTCGTTGTAAGAAAATCAAGCAAGAGACATGTCAAAATGAAATGGCGCAAGCTTCAACACACTCATTGTAAGAAAATCAAGCAAGAGACATGTCAAAATGAAATGGCGCAAGCTTCAACACCATCGTTGTAAGAAAATCAAGCAAGAGATCTAGAGCTGCTTGAATGATGGCGGATACATGTAATTATCTTGACCGTATCATACTCCTACCATAGTGATACTTTGCAATAATTTTTTGTGACATGCATGTTTGGTTGTGAGTGATCGATTTCTATGTAGATCTTTCAAATGCGAGGTCTATGTTCTAGCTTGCATTCTAAACAAAGATTTAGTTTGAAGTTTTCTTGTGTCTAGAAGATTTAACATAACATTTAAGCACCTTTGGCACTGCATTATTTTCCCTCTTCAAGATGGTTTTAGTCGACATCTTCAAACTAATGCACACCCAAGTTCCCGTTAGGACTGTGTCTTTGGAACGGGTCTAACTAATCCTGTGCACACATGTAAGGATGGATGCTCACACCTGATTTCTGAAAGATACAGGACAAAGCACTCTACCGCCACCTTGACAACCTCCACATCTCGTGACTAGTAATGACCTCGCCGCCATGGCGCATCATCCATGCTCCTAACCTTAGCTGCATCCACTAAGTGAACCTCTTGCTCACACCTACATCCTATATTGTCCCTCATCACCGTTTGTGATTGACTGCAACTTTGCCTTCAAAATCTTGCCCCTCACCACCTCTCCTCCTATCTCTTGAGTAACTTAATCCACCAGCTTACCTCACTGCTTGTATTCCACCACTCCATCGGTGGTGGTTGACAACTATCATCTATTCTGGGGGCATTCTTCTCCGATTTTGGCATGCCAAACCCCTAACCCTAGCATATTCCTTTTCTCCAAATCGATTCACCATACTCCAAGGGGGAGGGACCTCGCACTATCCATTAGAGAACATGTTATTCGATTTGGATCTGAGGAGAGAGTGCATGAGAAAGAAACACAGAGAGGAAGAAGGCATTTGATCTGGGTTCCTACTAGAATAGTCATATTGCGACAATTATCACAATGCTACATAGAGGAAAGGGAAGCCATCAACACTAACTTTTCTTGCCAGAAAAATTGGTAATTAATGTAAATACCTTAGTCTTCAAGGGACGGAGGTTTTTACATTTGTTAAAAGAAATAAAATGCGAAAACAAGCTAAAAAGGAAATACAAAAGGCAATGGTAAAAGGAAAATGAACCATGCTAGCTGCTGGTATACTAATTTATCATAGACTCAAACTAATCTTGTCTATTTCGACCATTATGATTTGACTGCCGACCACCTATGACCAAATATCCTCCTCCTGGTTGTCTCACATTGTCCAAAGTATCAAGAGGAGATAGTTTCCTTAACCACATGGATCTCGCCTTACATCAATGAGCAGATGTTAGGGTTCTCATCACTGAAAACGTTGTCATGTTTGGGCGGCAGTGGCATCGGGTAGTACATCGGTGGTGGGTATTGCTGCTGCTTGTGCCCATGCCCATTGTCGTACCCCATCAGCTGGTACCCGGTGCAACCAGGCCCATAGTGGGCATTTTGGCTGTCAGGGGAATGGGCGTTCATCATCATCTCGTGCTCCTGTTGAGGCTGCACCATTATGCTTGGTTGTTGCAGCATTGGGTTCCTGGCTACCTGCTGCATCATCTCCGATCCGCTGCTGCCAGCACCGCTAGGATAGTACCCGTCCCCAGGCAAGCTGTTGGCAGGCATACCAAGCCCATGTACAGCACCGCCACCATATGATGGCTGCACGTTGTAGCCACCCATGTGAGTGTAGGGACCCATCGACATGCCGCCCATCTGGTCCATATTGGGGAAGCTGGCGGGGCCTATCATGTTATTAGTGGGCCTCATCATTCCCCCCTTCTGTGGCGCCATACTGCCACCCGTCATCTGGCTGCCTACACCAACACTACTGTCTTTCTTAGCTTGGCAACGGTTGTTCAGGCTGCCCAGGGCACTGTTGTGTGGCGGCTGCCCAATGCCACCGTTCTTGACTTGGCTGCCTCCAGCATCATGGTATAGCTTTGTGCCCACATCTTTCTTGTTGTCATTGTTAGCATTTTCCGGTACTAGGACCTTGGTGCCTCCACCAATCTTCTTGCCACTCTGCTTACCACACCCCTATTGATGGCTGGAGGCATGCCCATGAGATGAGGAGGAAGCTTCTTCCCCTTCAGCGTCTGCAGCCTCTGCTCAATCTGTTGTTGTATATTTGGAAGATGCTGCTCCGGTGTCGGTGTCAGCTGAGGTAGCACCATTGTTGCATCATTCGTGCCACCACCGCTTCTGGCAGCACAGCCACCACTGCTGCTGGCTTCACCCTGGGGCAGACCCTTGCCACTAGCATCCTTCAGCTGATCGCCCATGTCATTACCACCAAGCTGGAGCTTTTGGTGCTTGCTTACTGCAGCGGAATTTGCATCCCACAGCTGAGCGGACATGCCAGACTTCTTCAACTTTTTGAAGACAGTATCCATGTCCATGACGCCAGTCACCGTTACCTTCCCTTGCTGTCTATTGACATTGGTTTGGTAGACACCTGTGTAGATTAATCCAGCACGTTTCTCTTATATAGGGGAAAAGAATAGAAAGATGGGAAAAGTAATATGGCTGAACAGAACAAAGCCTGTAGAGACTGGAAAAAAAAACAAAAGAATACAATGATTTGTGATTTAAAAAAAAATGTTTTTTTACCATCAATCTTATGCATGATCTTTTTTATTTCCTTGACGCATCCATTGCAGTTGATGTCGACTTTCAGGTCACAGGTCTGGGAAAAAAGAGGAAAAATTTGTTAAGGAACAACATAAGGCTTGCTGGAGACATGCACAACAAGATGATGATTGTTGAGTTGCCTGCCTGATAAAAACTACAGAAAGCACAAGAAGTAAAATATATGGAATGCATGAGGGCTGTTGCTTGAGTTGAGAGGAAGCAAAAAAAAAAAAAAAAATCACCTGCACCGTGAGAATGGTCTCCTTAAGCATCCTTGACTACCTCAAATGCTGGAGCCTCCAAATCACCGGTTGGATTGTTGGTCTTTCCTTGTACCTTCACAATGAAAAGGTCGAGGTGAGACACTGAGACCCTCACAGGAAGAGAGAGAAAGAGACTACGGTTTCTGTGTCAAGAGACAGAAAGAGACTTGGATTCTTGGTTGATCTTCGATTCTTCCCCCAACCCTATTTGGTTAACAAATAGGTCCTCATCTCTTATAATTAACTTGGGCTTTTTTTTATAATAGGGAGGTATCTAGGCATGGGCAATGCTAAGGTACTCCAATTTCCTATAAACAGGTAATATCTCAAATAAATCTGAGCCGTTAAATTTTTGGATTTTAGGAATTAATCAAGTAAATAAAAAATCATAAGAACAGAAAAAAAAATCCCTCCCGATCCCCTTAATGACAACAGAAAGAGAGCGCGGGCAATCCTCCTTTCTTCGTGCTTAGAGGTGCAAATCATTAGTCACATCACTCATCACAACACACACGTATCACATGAATGCACAGGCTAAATGTATCATTACTCACATCACTCATCACCTAACATGCGCATACATGTTATCAGGTTGGCATATATATGCGAATCATATCCATGCAAAATCAACTGTATCAAGTCACATGCAAAATTACATGGCAATCAACAAATATCAAGTCCAAATTTACAAAATAAAAAAGATATACCATATTTGCCAGATCACACATGCATCAATCAAATCTAGAAAAAGATTTTTATATCTAAATTTTTCCTTATTTATCCTATTTTATAGAACAAATAAATAAATATATTTCACATATTACCACATAGGAGGGAACAATTTCATGTCTTGCAATAAAAACACACATAAAGAATAGATCTAGGGAGAGAGAAATAGCAAACCCGTGTTGGAGTTAGTGTTTGCAAAAATTAAACCATGAGCAAGGCTAATCAAAGACCTGTTATGTTGCCTACCAGAGAAAAATATGCACGCCAAAGGAACAAGATACTTCCCCTATATATATCTACAACAACCTAAGCACATGAAATGTGTTTATGTTGGGCTTACCTTTCGTTTCCGTGAGAATGCCTTTGGCCCCAAAAGCTGAAGGCTTTTTTTGTTCTTCCACAAATTGTGAAATATGGTTCTTGTACAAATGAGTAGCGAAGGAGGGGGTTTAAATAGGCTAAATGTGCAGGCAGTATATTAATGTTGGGATATCTTGTTCAGATATTATACAATCCTATATTAATGTTGGGTTATCTTTATTTTTCCTTTCAAAAATCCCTGTCCTCTTATAAAGTTTGCATACTAGTCCCTCTGTGCTTCTATTTAGTTAGGCCATAACATTACAACTTTAGCAAACTACTATTAAACAAGGAATCTTCTGTTAAGTATATATGACGGTATTTGTCAAAATGGTTTAACAAGAATATTATGTATGTAAAAAAAATGCACTATTCACCTAAGCGTTTGATTAGCCCACTTACATACTAGTTAAACACTACACAATGGTACACCATTTCTATTTATTAGGTCGTTTAGACTGTTTAAATGGTCATTTTTCCTGTTTAAGCGGCCATTTAGAACAAATAATAATGGCTAAACGACAAGTGACCAACTATTTACCTTTTAGAATTTAGGATAATGCTGAGAAAATGTTGCATTCTAGTATTGAAATCCTAATGTCCAAGCTAGGAAAATTTTATCTTTAGCTATATGTGACAATAAATCGTTAATGACATAAAGGTTGCATCATGTTCTTCAAGACTGCCTTAAGCTATAGACTATCTACGTAATGATTACGTTGAGCCATTACGTGTTTCATGCAAAACGTTATTGCTTGCATGAAGAAACATGCATTCTACGTAAGGATCTTGTTATATCACTATATATTTGTCTCATTTAGAGCGTTACATCTTGCATTAGAAAACATACAACGTATGGATCACGTGATACAGAAGTTCGCTTAGCTCGATGTAGTAACGCATCTCATTCTCTAAGGTTTTCATCCTATTCAATGAGAGCATATATATGATGTTTGGTGAGACATGTTAGTTGTGGGTGCTTCTCGCAATGACTCCACACGACATTGTTTATACACAAGAATAAGCGGTCAACATCTTTGAACATACTAGCGATTAATCACAGAAATATAAGAAAAGTAGGGGAAATCGATGAGACTTTCCATCACCTACCTAATAGGTCAATGTCCCAAACAATAAAACTAATTTTATGGAAAATAACTAGCTATGAAGTGGTGTAAACTCTTTCAACTATGGAAAAGTTTGTTTAATCAAATGAGTTAGCCCATGTGCCACCTTGTTCCATGAAATATTGTTAGGCAAATTTCATCCATTAAGCACAGTTTTTTTGTCTATTTAAATCAACAGCAGGTTAACCAATGTACTTGATTGTGAATAATCTTGAAAAGGGGGGCTTGAATGCCAAAGGCTAGAGAAGGGATGCACAATAATTAATGAACATAGAGATGTGGTGCATGAGGTCATAGCATCTGGTACAGCCTGCAGGAGCGCTTCATGCATTTTGTTTGGTGAGTCAGAGGATTGTGGCAACCACAAAACATTTTACTTATTATACATTATGGTGTTTTTGAGTTTAAGCTATCGCCAAACTTTTGTCTCCTCTTTCTGTTAGTTTGTTACTATCATTTACTATAGTATAGCATTTTTAACTCTTCTTCTTCTGCCGATCCAAAAATTTGCTCTTCTTTTCTGCTAGGCGGTTAGTGTATTTTAGTAGGAGTAACTCCTCTTCTCCTACTTTATCTTTACATACATTCACCTTTCAAATCAAAATGAAATGGATAAATAGAATGCATCAAATGGTTGTTGTGTCTCAGTTCACGCAAGTACATCCAACACTTTTTTATTGATTCCATGGCAGTGAGCACATTTTTTTCATGTGGCGTTCTGTGCAAGGATGGATAATTTGGTCAAATGAATAGAACAGATACATATCATTTCAACCATACAAATATCTATGAAGATTTTACAGCTAATGCATTCATTTTACAGCTAATACAATTCATTGCTACTGCCAGAGGTACGCATCTGCAGTCTGCTATAGCTAGACTAAGGAAGAGGTTCATAAAGTATTGCTATTATTTGTCTATATTCACATGTCTGGTATTCAATATGTGCAAATAAATACACATATATCTAACCAAACCACTATGTTCATTGTTTTTCTATGATTCATTGCTTGTGCTAGAGGCTGACATGCATGGTCTGCTATAGCTAGAATAATGTTATTTTAATTGCTAAAAAGGACAATATAGACTGATGCCATTTAATAGAGATTGACATAAATAGTCTACTACAGCTGTATAAACTGATGTCATTTAAGTGCTACAAAAAAGGACAATCTATTGAAAGAGAGCTACATAGATATTTGTATATGTTTTCAAGTGCCACATTTAGTTCATGCAAATAAATATACATATATATACAAATCAAACCACTATATTTTTGTATCACTACTAGGACTGGGTTTTTTCTATCGACAGGAATGGCTAAAAACTTGTTAGGGCCTTGTTTAGATTGAGAAAAATTTCAAACTGATGAATAGTACCATTTTCGTCTTATTTGGCAAACTTTGTCCAATCGTGGACCAACTAGGCTCAAAAGATTCATCTCGTGATTTCCAACTAAACTGTGTAATTAGTTATTTTTTTACCTACATTTAATGCTCCATGCAAACGTTCAAAAATTGATATGATGAAAAGAGAGTAAAAAAACTTGGAACTTTGAAGGGAACTAAACAAGGCCTAGGAATGTGATTCATGATGGCTGGCTGTTAGGAAATGGCCGATAGGATCGGCTTGTCAGGAAAAGCACTTTACTCCTATCAGCTGTATGTCAGGAAATCTTTCCTATTGGCATTTCCTGACGGCCTAGGGTGGGCCGATCAATCCTTTGTTCTATCCAGTAAACTGCCAGGAATTACTGTTAGGCATGCCGTCTAGGTACCAACCGGAACTGACACCTTTCCTGGCATTTAAACTGACAAGAACTCAATGTATATCAGTTTTATATTAATAAAAATGCATTCAACACTACGTTGGAATAGCACTTTACTGAGGTTCAAAACACCCCGTCACTGCCGGATTTTAAACCGGCACAACCATACTAGCAGTGATGAGGATCAGCTATCACTATCGGTTCCTACAAACCGGCAGTGTTCTTCAACTTCACTGCCGGTTCTTTATAGAACGGGCAGAGTTCTGGTCCACCAATACTGCCAGTTCATTAAACCACCCGATAGAGTTCAGTTCCACCAAACACTGTCAGTTTGTGTTTTAACCAGCAGTGTTGTCATAACGAGCACTGCCGATTTGTGACAAGAATTGACAGAGTTCAGTTCCACCAAACACTGTCGGTTTGTGTGTTTAACCGACAGTGTTGTCATAACGAGCACTGCCGGTTTGTGACAAGAACTGGCAGTGATGGGATAAGCAGTGCCATCTTGGCCAACACTGTCG